ATCAATTTCGATCCTAAACAAATTAATTTTTGAATTTCGTTTCCGGCGAGTGGCCTTGAGCCACTTGTCGGGCTACTAATGTTGTGTTTTTTTTATATAACTTTAAATTGTTACTCGATAAACATTATTAGACTAGTAGTTAACGTACACCAACACTTAATTACGATATAAGTAATTTCAGTTCACTGCATTGGTTATTATTGCGGTCGTTAACGGTCAATGACCGTCCGTACTCACTCAAAATCCTAGAATTGCAACAGTGGATCAGCAGCGGCAGTATCAGGCATAACTTAGTGGCGACGGTGATGCCGATTTTGATGCACATCGAGAATAATGACTTGGGATGTTGGAATTTGGTGGTGGCGGGGATGGTAGCTTTCTTCTCCGAATTTTTAGGATTCTACCTCCCAAATCAAACTCATGTGCTCGATCATTTCTACAATAATGAACCAGCTCTATGTTCAGGCCTTGAAAATTGGGCTGTCACGCGAGTTTCTCTTTTCACCTTTTAGACATTAAGAAGAGAATAATGTTATTCATCATAATTGCTGAAGATCACCATCCAATGTGACCATCAACACAATAGGTTAATAGGAATAAGATTGGTTAAAATCAGTTTAATTTCTTGGGGTGAAACATGTCTATATATTTAAATTTAGTCCTCACGAGTCCTCTCACATACGTGCCGAATTTTTTGTGTGCAAATTTGTCGAATAAACCCACAACTTCACATACATGTCTATATTTTTAATTTAGTCCTCACATGCCATCAAACATGAATGCCGAAATTATTTTACTAAACATCACATGAGTGCGAAATTATCCCACATATACCCACAACCTTTGACACACCATGTTAAAGTAAAAACATTCTTAGATCGAAGAATGATTTCTAGACTTGCATCAGCCTGCCACTGGATAGTGACCTTTCCAATATTTTCCTTCAACCTGAGAGGCTTGTTTTACTAATAACACACTTATGTTGCTGGCAAAATTGTTAAGAGAAATGACGCCTTTATTTACTTTCTTTACCCAGGTTTGAGATAGTCATGGACTATCTTCGGATGAGACTTTTAAAGCGGAAGACTGATCACCAATGGTGTTTTCCGGAGCTCGGTTTAAATCCAAAAAAATCGACCACAACAAATCAGAACCCAAAACCTCCTGTTATTCCCAAACTTTGGTTGCTCTTTATGTACCCATAAAAGGACACGAATGAAGGTATTGTTTGTAGCCAAAACAATAAGCCACAAAGGCAATGAAGGAGATAACAAAAGACAGCAGAGGCAGAATCACAGAAATAGGGAAGCAGCCGTGTTTTATCTCAACGAAAATGATTTTTCTTAATGGTTGATTGTATAATTATTATGCAATTTTTCCTTTTAGAGATATTTATAACCCTATAAATAGGGTCTTTTACTT